CTGGGACCCAGCACTCCAGGTGTCTCTCACCAGGGCTGAGCACAGGAGAAGGATCAGCCCTTGCCCTGCTGGTAACATTCCTCCTAATGCAGCCCAGGAGAGGCTTTGGCTTTGTTTGCCATGAGGGCAGATTGCCAAGCCACCTTCCAGCTGGGTGCCCCCCTGAATATACTGATGCCTGGGGCTGTTCCTCCCCAAGTGCAGGACTTTGCATTTCCCTTTATTAATCTTCATGAGGCTCCTGTTTGTCCTTTTTTTTCCAACGTACTGAGGGCCCTGTGAATGGTGGAATAACCCTCTGGGGTACTGATATTTACATTACCCCAAGAACCCTCCGGCTACCCTTGCCATTGGGCTTCTTACCTCTCTGCCAAATTCCTCAGCTTCCCTCAGCAGCTGTTTACTAGTTACTCCTTTAGTTCCAGCATCTCTAATCTTCAGCTCCTCCCCACCATCAGAGACACTCCAAGTCCAGCATCAGCTCTTCTTCTCCTGGGTGCTGTCTCTACATAGCTGGCAGTCATTCTTAACCCCTATGCTCTTGCTTCCCTCAAGATCCATAAATGATTCGTATTCAGTATACAGTAGCCTTATATATAATAGTGTGTATATATATATGGTTCTACATGTTTTAGGAATCAGGCCAAGAGACAAAGAGAACAGTCCAATGAGCGGTAAATCCATATGCTGGAAACAGTTTTTGACATCCATTTCCTTCTGTGGCAGCCAAATTCTAACCAAGTCTCTTCTGGTTTTAGATGAAACTTTGCCCTGAACTGGCGTTGGTGCTACTTACATGTCTCTCCTGTCTTGAAGTGCCCCATCAGGAACCAGCTGAAGAACTTGATGAAACCAGTGAGTTACCCAAAACTGAAGAACAGACAGGCAAGTACTAAGGAAGCCAGCTTAGCTAAAGAAAGGCTACTTGAATGGCTAGTCTGATCCCACTGGTGTCAGTGAGACACTGGCCAGTTTTCATTAGCATGATGTTTGGTCTATTTTTCTTGGTGTCTCGTGGGTTCCAGGTGGGCTGTGAGGAAGTTGGTGCACTGGCAGTGATGGATCTCACTCACCTCTAAAGTACTGTGAGCCTGCCAGAAAAATCTACCCCGTGATATGAAAACCACATGCATTTTTCTTGCAGAAGAGTTAGATCCAAAACAACTTCACTACACTTCTGCAAAGTTATGTTTCTTTCATTCATACTTGGATTTCATTGCTTCATCCACTAGGACTGATTTGAAAAGTAATCTTTTCTTTTCTTTTAATGACAACAGTTAGTGTTGGTCTCTCTTCCCATACAGTTGAGCCACCATTTAATAACAGGACTGGAAGAGCCTGATACCATTAAAAAAAAAAATTAACATACCAAACAGCACTGGTGCATGCAGTTGGAAAAAGAATCAACCAGTTACTCTTAGAAAGATGCATTCCCCTTAAAAATTACCAAAATAAAAAAATGTATTCTGTGGAGAAGAGCAGTGAGTGTACATATGCACACACTGATACTTCCACGTCCATGTCCCCACCCTAACATATATATATATATATATACACATATGCACATATGCACATACACACACACAGAGGTATTAGACTGGACAAGTAATTTATTTTTTTCCCTGGTAGAATATTGTTATAACTCTTTATTATATTATATCTATCTTTAAAACAGGAAAACTTACCAAAACAGAAAAGAAACAACTACTTTAATAGCTGTAACTTATTTGGCCAGACCTTGAAAAAAATTGCCCCTCTATTTAGCATGAAATACATAAAAAATTAAGTTTAATAATTTTAGATTTAAATGTATACCAAAATTTTTATTCCTGATTTGGCTTGCTTTGCCCTTGGAACAGTCTCCATAATTACTAGAAATGGCTTTAATTTCTTCCAATATATAGGAAAAAAATGTCTAAACACTGACCACTTGTCTATACTGGGTCCCCCAGTGTTATCCCCTTTCTAAAGCACTTAAAGCATTTTATACAATAGCCAGCATTTTATACATAGTGCATACTGTTTTGCAGTGCTTGCAGGTACCTCCTGCTCTCTTGCTTTTGCTGTTCTGAAGACATAATGCAAAACTAACCCTTGGTGTCCTCTCCTGAGAGGGCATAGAGAGAGGTGAGAAAGCTACTTCTTGTAACAACATTGTCCTTAGGGAAGCAAAAAGGTCAAAAAGCAGAAGGCCAGCTCTGATCTCCTGGAAAATCTGGGAAACCTGAAGAACATGCAGAAAAGGTAAAAAGCTAAAGGAAGGAATGGATTTTTGTGAGAGGGCTCTAGAATGTGTAATTTATTCAACTAGAACTACAAAGGTGCTAAAAGACCTTTTTAGTCTACTGTTAAAAGAAAATTGGTAATAGTGGTTCATATCGTTCTCTGTGTCCTTTCCACAGAGCACCAGGAATTTTTCTGCACTTGATCACTGGGTCAATGTTTACCCCTTAGGTTTCTGCATGTCTTGAATAGTTGTCAGTAGGTCCCCACAGAGTTATACATTAATAGTTCTCCTCCTTCCCTGCCTTGTTCTTAATGAATTCACTGGTTGGGAGAATCAAATATCTTGTCTGGTATAAATTCTGCTGCTTAGAGATTGAGTTAATGGAAAAAAATCAAGTTTTCATAAGCACCCAACTGCTCTCAAATCTGAGGAAAATCATCAATTTCACTGCTGTGTATCAGTAAAAGCACTCTTTGACAGACTATGGGACTCCATCCTTTCTAAAACCTAAGCAAGGTTACATTATGATTTGTTTCATGTTACATTTATCAATATAGTGACACTAGTCTAGTTCACACAAAGTAGAAGTTCATTACAAAATCCCTTATTGCAGAGACAATCAATGAAATCTATTATATCTTTAATCACTGAAGTCAATTTTGGTATCACAGGATCACATCTGAAATAAAGCTGACTGTGGTCTCAGTCAGCTACAGTGATCCCTCTTACAGTGCCTTAAAGCTTAACACTAACAGCATCTCTTAAGCACCAGACTAAAAAAAATTGTTTTTTCGGCAAGGAAAACAAGACCTGATTGAAACACTAGATAGATTATTAAAAAAAATCCAAAACACCAAACCTAAACAACAATCCCTTCCCCCTGCAAATCCAGAACCATATGAAATGCTGGAATGATTAGGAACATATGTAATTGGTAAGACCAGGTAGAAAGTTTTTCTTAATAGGTGAAATGGGTGCCTCTGCATACAATCGTGTTTAAATTCAGTTCTCGTTACATATCCTGAGGAATCACATAAATCAGGACCTGCAATTAACAATGAAAACACAGTTCTGTCCAGATGTGGCCTTGAGTAAATTACTCATGAAGCTGGAATTCTTGAGCATGAGATCCAAGAGGATGCTGCCCCTCTCTCCTCTATGGGAAGGGGTAATATGATATTTCTATAAGTGATGCCATATTCCAGACATTGTCCTTATAGGGACAGGCACGGGAAAATGATAAATGGCCCATGGCATGAGATGGCCAAGCTGTGGCTGAATGTCTCTGCAGTGGAAGCAAGAGTACCTGTTGGGAGATATTCAGCCGAAGGCCAAACCCTGTCATTTGCAGGAAGCTTGTTTCATCACCTAGCAAACTCCATGTTCTTCCCAGCAGAGTAAGCAACCAAAACAAATAAGTTTTCCATTTCTTTGTGGCTGGTTCAGCTCCTGGGTTGTAATGGGCTTTTCCCATTGCAGGAATTTTCACCAGGTCAAACACAAACCCTCTAGGGTTCAGATCTGCATTTCCCTCCTTTGCTTCATACAGTGTGCTGTATTAGAAAAGGAAACATGAGATTTTACGAAAAACACTTTTAGAAAAAGGAAAATATTCCCAACAGGTAAGTTTTACATTCACAAAATCAATGAATTTACAAAATTAATGCATTCACAGAAAGATTATTCAGAAATAATTCAAAGTAACTGGGAACAAATTCTGCTTCCTCTTCAGACTGACCTACAGTGAATAGACTCAAAACAACATATGGTAATAGCATAATAAAATGAAGAATAAATTATTTTATGCATAAAATACCATGTTTTTCAATTTATGTAGTGACTTCAGTCTTTATGCACAGAATTCCACACATTTGCATTTTCATGCAGAGCATCTACAGCACTGCACTACTGCCCAGCCATAAGAACACCAGATGGCAACTGACCACAGTGAAATTCAAGAGCACTGTATTGGCTACAGCTCTGTCTCCAACAGTACAACAGCCCAGGCACTTCAGAGGAGTACAAGAAACCATTTCATATGCAACTGATTTTGTAATACCAGGCAGTTGTCATCCACGCGTACCATGTATCTTCTTTCATAGATGTGACATTTCTCATCTTCTTTAAAATGAGGCAACTAAGCTCAGCAGTAGCTGTGGCAATGAATTCCACAAGCTAGTTATAACCTGCAAAAGTTCCAGCAGGTCAGAAATTATCTGTGTGCGCATTCCAATCCCCAAGGAAATTACCTGATTGCAAAGACCACCGAAGGAGGTAGGAACACTTCAGTCCATCCCCTTGAAATCAAAGGATAATGCTGCTTGCATAATTCTAAAGACGCAGGAAAGCCTCCACCATAGCTACACTGAATGTTCACAGACAAAACCCTTTGTCCCAGCAAGGACTGATCACTAACATTTACAAGCCCTATTTTAAGCAAGCAGGCAAGCAAATCAGAATGTACCACAAGATAAGATAGAAAGGGTTTGCTGTTTTTCTTTAGTGTCTGCTACTCCTGTTTTAAATGTTCCAGTCGCTGGATGTTATGAGATTTGCTTCTGATACCTTGAGGCGAGGCAGCTACAGGGTTCAGCACTTACTCAGGAAGGCGTAATCTTTCACAACCACACAAATGTGCAAAATTCATTAGAAGGCACAGAATATATAGGTATATTCCACCGGATTCCCATTTATTCAGCTGTATCTCTTTTTTTTTTTTTTTTTTTTTTTTTTTTTTTTTTTAAAGAAAGCCTCTTATAAGGGTATGTTTGGCATAGAAGACTTGATTTTCCAGGCTACCCATATATATGGGTTAGTTAAGTTGGACTGAGTACCGGAAAAAAATTTTGTGTTAGTCCAGTGCAGAAAGCAAACCACACTGCTGGACACTGTTTAGATGCAATAGAGGCCTTCACTCAGTCCCTCCTACTCTAACCTTTATACTACTAATTTTTACCACATCTCCCTCCCAGTTACTAAAATTAAATTTCTTTTTCCCTGAAAAGATGAAACTTTAAGGTGAATTAGAGGGATCCTTTTTGGAGGAGACGGGAGGATATCAAATTATATGACAGATTGGTGTACTTCATAGGGTACTTCGTGAAAATGCTGACTATAGCTGCTTTTTTATGTAAAGTAGAGATACTAAGCAGATTTGCTGTCAGTCATGAATTGGTGTCTGGTACGAATTCAAAGAAAATACCAACACTGCAGAGCCATATCTGTATTCCTGCTCATGTAATTGAGATCAGAAACTGTCCCCTTGTCACCCAATTATGAGTCACCGTCAAGCACAAACTGCCTGATCAGCTGAAGGACAGGGCTGTGCTCCTGGAAACATAAGGCTCGATGGCATTTGGGAATTATGGCCAAGCCTTCAGTGGCCTGGTGAGGGGTGGGAGTCGTTAAAGGCTAAAAGTCTTCTGTGATTCCAGATCGTCTTAATATTTTGCTGCACTTAGGAAACAAAGCACATACCAAGAAACAAAAGAAAAAGAAAACAACATTTTAGCTAACAATACAGTTTTGTTTCAAAACAAAAATCTGGAGGTCAGCCCAGGGACCTGAATAAAGCTTTAGCTTTAGCAGCAGGAGCACAGTCTCTCATTCATGGCTGAAATGGTTCTCATCCTTAACGAAGGAGCTAGAACTAAGATGAAATTGATTCTTCTTTCCATAATCCATGTTGCTCAGACAATATTCCTAGCAGCATATTCAGGGTTAACAACACTGATGGTGGTGGGAAAAATTTGTGAAAGTAACTGTGGTTCCCAACTTTCCTGCTTTCATGGATTAACAAGCAGGCTCAGCCCATGAGGGCTGTCACATTCTTGAACTCTGTAGTAAGAAGGAAATTGGACTTTGCTTTTCTTCAGTGGGTAGCTTTTTAGTGACACATCCTGGTTGTCATCTCTTTCTGCAAAACAAGAAAGAGAGATTAAAAAGCAAATGGCATTTGCTGCAAAGTGTGCACATACCTCTTCCCAGTTAACATTTCTGCATCTCTGCAAATTCATGTGGTTTTATATGCCACCATGGTTCTGCTTCTCTCCACCACTTTCAAGGCCAATGAACCTAACTGGCAAATAGCATGCAGCATTTTGTCATTTTTTGACAGCTTTAATACCCTAATTCTCTAGCCATGTCAGGTAAATGATGCTGTATCCTAGAAAAAAGAAAAAAATCACCTGCAAAAGCAAGAAACCTTTTAATTTAATGTAAGAAATAGGATTCCAGTCGTTGTCATTGAACCTGCAGCCAACAGGAAACATGGAGATACATTCTTTGCCTTGTTATTTCTGCCCACACATGGACACAAAGGGCAGGTGGACACAAATCTTTGACTTGACCAGAGCTGTGGTATTTGTCTCTAGGATAGGGTCTTGGAGCATTCACAGAATGCAGAAACGGAATTTGGGATCCATATAGGATTTTATTTGATCTGATTTACAGGCACTCTGATACAAACTCTCTGGTAACTGGCCGATCTGTTCTCTTCATCCACTCTTCATATTTTTCAGCAGATTTTCTGACCGTCCATCTACACACACAGCATAAATGTGTGCCAAGGCCGAAGGGCTGCCACATCTAAAGGTCGCCACACCCTTTAGGGCCTTTATCATAGTGTCTCCAGGCCGTATACTATTTCACTTGGAAAATCTATTTAGGTTTACCAAGTTATCAGAAGATCTGAAAATCTTAGCTTGCTTAAATAATTTGTTATAAGATCATTAATACCTAATGTAACGGTATCATTAATACCTAATGTACCTAATACCTAATGGCTTCCTGACAGTCTTGTAACTGTATCTTACTCTGTGCCTAACAGATCATTTCTCCGCTTAGAATCTTATGCAGAAGTTTCACTGACCTGGCCTGACATCGTTTCCAAAGGTGCTTTCCCCAGCCCAGGATGCTAGGTGCTGCTCTGCCTGCTCCCCAGCGGTCGGCAGTTCCAGCTGCCTCGGCAGGGTACTGCCAGGCTCGTGGTGCCAGGCTCGTTGCTGTGGGCCAAGGAGACACACACCTTGTGGAGACTGCTCAGCACCTTCTTCAGCAAAATCTGCTGCAAATGGAAAGGACCTAAAACATGTTGTTGCCAAAGTCTTGTGTTTTCTTCAGGAGTTTTACATTATGCTTTTATTTCCCTTATCTGAAGATTAAATTAGGTGCTAATGTCTCTCCAGGCAGCATTTTGCAGATCCCTAAATTTACACATACTCAGTGTCTCCATGTCCACACTGTACTACCAATACTACAGCTGATAGGTCTGTGAGGTGGAACATCATCAATTCTTTCTGCAGCTGCTGCTGAACAGCTGTTTGTAGTCAGACAGTAGCATCTTATTCTGTTAGAAAAGCAGTAAAGAGGGGAATGTGGACAGTATCAGAGTCATTGTAATCTTGGCCACCCTCCTTCAGGAGCAGTGGGAGGCAAACTGCCTCCTGATAGAATAATAAAACATCCTAAGCAACACACTCAACACGCAAAATGTGTCTCCATTTTTACGTCAAAGAAACGAACAGCATCAGAAGCAAGAGTTTAAACTTGGATAAGTGTGTCCAGGCAAAGTAAAGAGTAGGAGTCTAGGTAATCTATGCCAGAGATGTAAACTAGAGGGCTTTAAACCAGTTTGCCATGAGTTTCAGCTACGTGCACCTGTGAGCATTTCACTGCTCAAGAGTCATGCAGCATGAACTGACTATGCCATTCCTAACTTTTCTGTAGAGGCAGACTTTTTTAAAATAGTAATAAAAATTCTTCCCAAGTCTCTACCTCCCTTAACTTCTGGATTTTTGTTTGGTTATACAGTTATATTCACAGTCCCTTACATCCACTGTTCCCCCTAAATCCTCTTCTCCCCACTCTGTCAGGAGAGTGTTGCTGAAAACAGCTCTGCAGCTTTCTCCCTGCTTCTACTTAACAGGCCTTCTGTTCCAACATCTGCTTGGCTTTGGTTTTGGAAATACTCATCAAAGATGTAAAGTCAGAAAAATGTTAAAAATTACAAAACACCGTAATTTTGATGCACAGAGACTTTTCCTGTATTGACCTATATTGTTAGCAGTAAATGAAGGACAAAGAAGTACATGTATACGGTCACATTGCACTCCTGTATGTATGTGTCTCTTTTACTGATTTCCACCAATAACAATGAACTAGGTGTGTTTTTTTTAAAAAATGAAAACCAGCATGATCTTTGTAACACCGATTTAGTACATCATTTGTGAGACTGACCTAGTTGTTTTTTTCTTAGATGAATTTACAATAGAGAAGAAAAACAAATAGGAAACAGTTTCTCAAAGAGATTGATAGAATTCTGAAGATAGCAAAGAAAAAGTTAGCTTCACTCAAAATGCTGGAGAGAATGAGAGGAAGGGTCATACCACAGCATCCGACCTCGGCCAGACAGCAGCACGATGCATGCTGTGTGCTGCAGAGCTTACTGCTGAGCCTTTCACAGAGCAAACCACTCCTACTTGCCAAACGCTCTCTCAGAGATACTTACCTTTAAAAACTAATTACCCGCTCTTCACAGAGCCTGCTGAAAAATCTCCCACTGGTTCTGATAGGCACCAGGGAATTTAGCACACAGTCCCACTCCACTTAGATCAGCAGAGAAGTGTCCCCCCCCCCACCTTATCACAGATCTGGCTACCTAGTTACTCTGGTGGTGCCCAGCCATTATGCGAGCACTGCCTTTAACACACTCAGAGCTGAGTCTACTTCAGGGTTTCCTGAGTCTTCCTTGTTTTGTGCTTCTCTGAAACTCTACCGTTCATTTTAATTCCGGAAAGGTGTAGAGGTATGTTCTTGACTAATAATTATCACTTAAAGGCATGTAAGGGTACTGCCCAAACATGGGAAATGACAATTAGCTGTTGACTGACTCTTCTGAGAAGGCAGGAAGACTGGAAATGCTGACTCTTGGGCTTAAGGTACTGCGACACTCAGCCCTAGCTGGATATTAAATGAAATATAAAGGTTAGACAGACAAATTAGAACATCAGACACAGAGACACAGACAGGCACACACAAACATTTATAAAGATATTTAAAACTTCTGTTTTAAAGTCTGTGCTGACCCAAAACATCTTTAACAGAAACTCTCCGTGCCAGAACTTCTGATACCAGATGTGCCTCCTCTTGTAAACAAATTACAAGAAATTCCAGAGCATTATCCTGTATCACTGCATTCAGACTTGTTCCTGCTCTCAATTTTGGATTACACAATTAAATAAAAAAATGAAAGTAGAAATAAATGCAGGTTTTCAAAGCCAAAATACAATGCAGAAAATAAAATCTGTGTGTTGAATATGCCTACAGACCAACCACTGAAGAGAACTTAACACAGAACTAACTTCTAAGTAACTTAAAGTGAAACAATTGCTATTCTTTTTCAAGTCCTTAAAGTACTTTCTTACTTGCTGGAGTTAATGCTAACAAGCCACTTTGTAAGCACCAGAAATCTGTCTGTTTCATTAATATTTGTGATTTCACAGAAGGATGCATTCCTCAATATTTTTTAGGGAGTACCAACATGATTTCCCAAAAGAAGGGAAAAAATCACCACAGTCTTAAAAGTGTAATCAATCTTTATATCTGATGGTTGTCTGGTCCTCTCCTCCCTACTGCTCCAACATGCATGTCAGATATATTTAGCACATAAATTTATACCTATTTTAATTTCTGCTCCTCAGTTTGCCTTTAAATGAAGCAGGAAAAGAATGGAAAAGATCTGACATCTTAGCGCATGCATAAGTAGCTGCAGAAATCTCTTTTTAATGGGACAAACCTACCTATGGGGAGGTGCTGATCAAATCTGAATGGGTTACAAGATTGATTTCCCCAGTAAAAATTTGTTCTTCTGAGAAAATGGTGTTTCAATGCTTGCATAAGTCAAATATGGAGTTGGCAAAACATAAGGCATTAAATCACCAGACATCACCTCTGTACCAGTATTTAATGGAAGCAAGAGGTCTGCAGTCTGTCTTGTGCAAAAGCTGATGGGAAAGTGGGTGAAGTGATATGAGTAAATAGCATAACTAATAGTATTCTATAAAAACACCAGAAAAAATTACTGAATGCAGTAGTCACCTTCACTAAAATCAGGGCTGCTTTAAAGATCTGAATCCTCGTTCAGTGCCTGTGTTCCACCCTCACTTCCAGCTCCCCAAACCACAGCCAAGGGCGCTTGCCATTCCCCCTCTTGAGCTCCTCCTACTGCCAGCTGTCAGTTACAAGGATGATGTGACAATAGCTTGGTTCAGCCAACTGTTTTAAAGATTGTGAGGAGTTTGTGGATACAACTAACTAAGCAGAGAAGTGGTTAGAGGAAACTTAATACTTCCTAACAGGCAGGGACACTCGGCTCAAAGGTACCCTTGGAAGACCTGACCAAGTAGCTGACAGCAAGTAGATACCAGACCCAGACACCATGCCCAATTCACTTGTCTGAACATACCAATTTAAGAGGAAACAACATTCCACATGTAGTCTGTCATGTACTCATGTCCCCAAACACTACAATCCCCCCAGAATTAAGGCCCAGCCTTAACCCTATTCTTAAGATTAAGGAACTTAATATCTGTGTAACCTTCCTGTGAACAAATACACAGTGTTGGGCGGGAAAGCAATACACAAACAACCCATCTGATATGTGGCTCATGATTAGAAGGTTCTGCTGGAGCAGTCACAAGCATCCCTGGGACATACCTTTCTCCTCTCTACTCTCACGGACAGAAAAGCAAGCCACATCCAAGGGAAATCCCATATATACGCAGAGGGGCTCAGTGATGTACGCATGGAGCCAGTTCACAGTCATCTTGTTCAAATCAGAACCACAGAATAAGTAGATGAAGAAGCAAAAGGTCTGAAAGATCGTTTTACATACTGTTCTTCAAAGCATAAATGACT